AAAAAAAAAAAGCCAGAAGTGGAGGTGTGGTTCAAGTGGTAGAGTATTAAGCCTTGAGCAAAAAAAAAAAAAAAAGCAACTCAAGGACAGCATTCAGGCTTTGAGTTCAAACCCCAGGACCAGCACACATACGCATTAAACACACAAAAATGCCTACTTCGATAGGTTGTTGTGGAAACTAAATGAATTAATATTTGTGAAGCAGCCAGAATAAAATGTAATCCTAGCCTTACATATCAAGCCCTATATCATCATTAAATAATAAAAATATGTGTTAGCTGGTATCAATATTGCCATTTACTGAGTTCTAAGTGCCAGAATTCTATTACTTGTCTTAAACAGCTAACCCAAGAAGGTAAGAACTGTTGTTAGCTTTATTTACAAGGAGTCGTTTGTACAAACTCTAAAGGGGTGGAACCCCAGGCCTCGGGAAGAGAATTGGAATGGTTTAGGGCAACACTGTTTAGGCCCCACCTGAGTCTATTTTAGCCCCTTTTCTGCCTCTGAGGTGGTTTCTGGGGAAGGGGAAGAAAGAGAAGGATGGGTGGGGGTGGCTCAGCCATTACCCAATGATCATCAAATTTGCCCACGACGACAGCTGGAGCCAGGGATCGGGCAGGATTCATGGAGCAGCCAGTGTAATAGATCTGCATAAGAAGGGTATGGAGGGGGAAAGGCAGTAAGGAAAGAGGAGGTAAGGAGGGACAGGGAGTCCTTGTCCCCCCACCCCCTCCAATGCTCATCCTCAAGAGATTCATACAATGGAAGCATGTCTTCGTGCTTTCATTGCTGGGTTTTGTATTCTCTTGGGACTGGCATGATGGGTTTTTCCCTCTGGGGGATCTGGGAGCCAAAGTCTCTGGGTTGTATGTCCCCCTCTTGGGTGCTGTATATCTGTGTATCTGTCTCTATGGAGTTTTGTGTCTATCATGTTTTGAGGAGGTAGAGTAATCTGCGTATATGTTTCTTTGGGGGAAAGTCTAAGTGTTGGTTGGATTCCTCTAGGAGGGCAGAACTTGTAGACATAACCTACCCCAAGAAGGTGGCCCAGGGTCACAGAGAAGCCAATGGAGAGGGCAGGGCTGCCCAAGCAGTCTCCACGGCGCTCATCAGTGGAGGCAAAGATACAGAGGACCAGCTGCAGGGTCAGGAAGAGCTCCACAGTCACCGCCTGGCCAGCCGTTGCGTTGTTGTGCAGCTAGAAACAGGGAGAGAATGAATGAAGGGGAATATTGATTGCACTCCCCTCTTTGGCTCCACCTTTCTGCCCACCTGCAGTTGGCTTCAGGGAGACCTCTGGGCCAGGAGCCAGAACACCTGGGCTCATCTGATACCTTAGCTGAAAGTACTGCCACTTTCTTTCTGAGCCTGGCCCCAGAGCCTGACCTCAGGACTGCCCATGGCCCTGAGCCAGAGATAGGAATGGAATCCATAGCTTGTTACATAGGGATGCTGAGGTCCAGAATTTCAGTCCTGGGAGCACCTATGAAAACAAGTCCCAACTGCAGCCAGGAGGCTTTGAGCTGGTTGACCAGAAGGCCCTTTTCTCTCTCGTCCTCGTTCGCATGCTACTGATACAACAAGAAGTTGGGTGTCTGTCTTTCCTTTTAGTAAATGGCTCCCAGGGATGGAGTCTAGACACTTGGGCTTAAGGATGATCTTCTAGTGCTCCTCTCCTGGGCGGCCAGCCTGTGGCAGCTGTCTTCCCTTTTGCCTGCTTCTTCTGCATTACCAGCCTCTGTTCTGCCCTGTGGGTTGCAACCTGCATATTGTGTAAAGTCTGGGGTAAGGGCATAGGAGCAATGGGAGTGTAATTCCTCCATACCCCTATGGGGTGCCCTTAGACCCTCTAGAGCCTGCCCTGGGTAAGGAGAGAACTTGAGGCTGAGCAAAGAAGCAGTTTCACAACTGGGCCACACCTAGGACTGGATTTCTCTCCAGGTTTTGTCATCCTGTACCTTACACCCTGCCCTCTGGGACTGAGCTATGCTGGGTGGAACTGCGATAGCTCTCAACTCCCACACTTCTCCAGGCCCCGAATCCCCCAGCGCTGGGTCCTGCACAGCCAGCTGGCATCCCCATGCCTTTCTAGGCTTGAGCATCAGTCTTTGCTGCAGCTACCTAGCTACAGTCTCCAGTGGGCAGACACTTTGGAGGCCTCTGTTTTGCTGGGGATCCCTGTTTATTCTGATCTCAGTTTTTCCTTCTGGAAAATGGGGATGACGAGGCAGACTCTGGAGGACTGTAGGAGGACCAGAGATGATCATCTGGCAGTACAGAGTGCAAATTGTAGGCTGGAGGTGTGGCTCAAGTGATAGATTGCTAGCTTAGCAAGCAAGCTGAGCAAGTGGTGAGGTCCTGCAACTGAGTTCAAACACTCAGTACCACCAAATAATAACAATAATAGCAGAATGTAAATGTTAGAGAAGACATGCTCCACTCATACCTCTTGATCCCCAGGTCTGTACCAACCTAGAGAGGGGAAGAGCCATGATGGCACAAGTCTCAAAGTGGCCTAGGAGTTCAGCTAGCCAATCATATTATGAAATTAGCATTTGCCCTGAGAACACCTTCAGGTCTGGAGACTTGCTCCTGTAGCCTAATAGGTACTGGTCCTTTCTCTGTTGTCAACAAACTGTAGAACTTTTTAACCATCTCTCCCTGCCCCCCACTGCCCCCACTCCCCACCCCTGGCTCTTGATTTATAAGACAAAGCTTAAATGGTGGCTAGGGACCCTTGGTCAAGAGGAAGGATGGTGGGTTTTATAGTCAAGTCTGGGTTTCAGGATTGGGCATTTCCTTCTCGGAGCCTCAGTTCTCACATTCTGAAGAAAGAAGCCAGGCTCACCCTCGCATCCCTCACAGGGCTCGGGAGAAGCAACTGTCATGGGTCCCTATACAATAACGCTGGAGAAATGGGTGTCCATGATGTTGGTGTCACATACCTGGAATCCTATCTGCTTAGAAGATCTGAGATCTGAGGATCAAGGTTCAAAACCAGCTCAGGCAGGGAAGTCTGTGAGACCCTTATCTCTAATTAACCAGCAAAAAGCTAGAAACAAAAAGCTGTGGCTGAAGTGGTAGAGTGTCAGCTTTGAGCAAAAAAGCTCAAGGACAGTGCCCAGGCTCTGAATTCAAGCCTCAGTACCAACATTCTCTGTCTCTGATACACACACACACACACACATACACACACACAAAGTTTGGTCTCTCTTCCTGCAAAAGACTCTTGTGACTGTGATCTGAGGCCCCCAGCCCTGAAGAGCTGTCCCTTGCTGAGGTCTAGCACTGTGACACTGGCAGTGAGTTCAACAGAAATCTGACTCTATTTCTCTCATGAGGCTGGGAGACGCGGCAGCTCTGTTCTTGTCTTGCCTCTCCTTTGGCATCACGGCCCCTTTACCCTGATTCTCCCATATTTCTGGCTCCAATCTCTCTTTATCTTTATCCCTGACTCTGCCTAGACTCTCACCTAGGTCCAGTCCTCCATTCATCTCATCCTCCTTCCATGGGATCTCTACTCCCACAGAAGGGAGACGCTCTGACTACTTACCGCATTGACGGCCAGATCCCCTCGGATTTCTGCTGGGGTGATCTCGTGGAGCAAAGCGGCCCCGGCCACGGCCCCCAGCAGCTGGGCAGCCACGTAAAAGATGGCTCGAAGGAAGGAGACATGGCAGCCCACCAGGCAAGCCACCGTCACGGCAGGGTTGATGTGGGCCCCACTGACATGGCCCAGAGCTTGCACCAAGGTGCCGATGCCCAGGCCAAAGGCCATGGCGATCTGTAGCACAGAGGGCTGGGCCTGAGTCCAGTTGAGAGCTGAGCCCAGGCCGAAGAAGACGAAGAGGAGAGTGGCCAGGAACTCTGCAAACACAGCCCTGGAGAAAGCTATAGAGCGGAGCTCCCACATGCTGCGCAGTCCTGGTGCCCTGGCCCAGCCGTCTAGGGCCAGGAGGCTGAGGCTTCCTGTCGCTCTCTTTCTCTCTCTCTCTCTCCTTCTTTTCTGGACCTCTGGGGAGGTTGGGCCATGGATACTTATAGGGTCCCAAATGGATTTAGGCACGTGGGTTAGAGGTGGAGTTTTAACCAATACCACCAATACCTCTTCTCCCCATGGCGGCCTTGCCTTCCCTCTCCTCCCCTCCCCATCTTCCCTGCCCACCTGCATGCCTATCACCCCATCTTAGCGTTCACAGCTGACTAATGTTCCCCATTAATGAACTCCAGATAAGGATTGACGTGTGTTTTTTTCCCCCAGCTCCCCTCCCCCCTCCGCCCCAGGCAGCCACCCCAGGGCCTCCCCCAACCTCCATGGTGAATCAGGGGACAGCATCCAGAGCCCCCCCCTCTGATTCAAATTGCTGGTCAATAAAGGGGTAACACCTCACCTACAATTGACCATGAGAGGAGATGTCAGAGTCTCTTTTCAGTGACTGGGAAGTTCTTTCTACGGTCTGATCTGCCATGTTCTTTCTTGAAGGGGAATGGAAAACAACTGGTTGGCTTATAACAAATTTCCAAGGCATAAAGATCTTGTGTTCCATGCTTGTTTTTATTGCAGTTAATCACCCATAAGTCATTAAGTTTCCCCTCCTCTCTGGAACCCTGGCCAGATAGCAGCTTCCATATATTAGAGTCAGGGGTGGCTTTCATAGCACTGGGTGATGGAGTCACTGGAGTCAAAGAAGAAACTGAGGGCTTCTTCCATTTAGCATCCCCCTTTCCTGTGCCACCGCAGGAGAGATGTAACCCTTTGCGTCCATCTCTGTAAACAGCGCTAACAGAACTTACCTCATAGGCTTGGGGTTTGGATGACATAAAGTGGTGTCGTAAAGCCCGCAGAGCAGCCCCTGGCCCACAGGAAGCGGTCACTTTCATCAGCCACTACTCACAGTACTGCTTGTGCTCTGAGGAGAACAGTTCTCCAAATACACACACATCAGGGTTCTAGAAACTTCAACAGGCTTTAAGGCACCCCCCCCCCTAGGGCTTGGAGCCACCCCGCCACAGGGGGAACACATTTCTGTGGGGCAGTGAGCTGTGTAGATTCGGAAAGGCTGTGATGCCAGATAAGTAATTCTCTAGCCTTCGTGCCATAGACTGGCCGATGTCCAGGCAATGCCACCCCCTCCCCTGCTTGCAGTGTTGCTGTAGCTGCTAGGGTTCATTAGGGGTCAGAAGGAAGGAGGGGTTTTGGCTAGTACAACCCTAAGCAGGTCACAGTCCCAACAATGGAATTCTGAGAGGGGTTGGAGACTATGGAATAGAGTTCCCACATGTTTGTGTTGTAAGGGGAAACAGAGAAACCCATGTAGGGCGAGTGACTTAGTTAAGGTAAGCCCTGTAGAGCTTTTGATGGCCTCTATTCTGGACAATAGTAGTAATAATGGCTTCTCCACAAAACTATTGTCACAATGCAGTAGAATAATGGATGAGAAACTATTGTTCAACTAAGAATGCATCACACACACACATGCACATGTATACACACAGACTTAGGTTCTAGCTGTAAAAGAGAATGTAGAGGAAGAAAAAAAAAGAAGAAGAGCCAGGCACTAGTGGCTCACACCTATAATACTAGCTACTCAGGTGGGTGAAATTTGAAGATCATAGTTCAAAGACAGCCCAAGCAGGAAAGTCTATGAGACTCTTATCTCCAGTTAATCACCAAAAAGCTGGAAGTGGAGCTATGGTTCAAGTGATAGAGAGCTAGCCTTGAGCAAAATGCTCACAGACAGTGCCTAGGCTGTGAGGTCAAGTCCCAGGACTGGCATAAAAATGAACAACACAAAGTAGAGCAGATATTCCTGTGGGTTTGTGCCAGTATTTGGGGTTCCAACCAAGCAAGGAAGAAGGACTCAAAAGTGTCCAGTTGGGCTATGTCTCTGCCCCCACCCAGAGAACATGTTTTTCCCACTCCCTCCATTAGTGGTCCATGTGTCACCTCTCTTCCTTGCCTGTGCCATCCACACCAACATACCAGTTCTATCCTGAGCCTCAGAAATCCTTAGAGGACATTCCCATCAGGACTTCCATGAATGAAGCTGGGACAATGGTTCCTTCTCCCTTGCAGAGTTGATGTGTGCTCTTGGATGGGCATTGCCCCTTTGATTCCGGTTTTGTGATCTTGAGAAGAGTCAAAGGCTCTCTGGCCTTTGATTCTGGGTATAATTATTCCTCAACCAGTCAACTATTCTAGTAAACTCAGAAGAGGTGTTATGATTTTTCTTTCTAGCCTCAACCCAAGGCGTGTGTGTGTGTGTGTGTGTGTGTGTTGTACATTTGTACATTTAGAACCATGGGGATGGAGGGATAACTAAGTGGCAAAGCACTTGCCTAACACACACGAGGGCCTGGGTTCCATACCAAATCCACCAAAAATAGAAGAAGATGAAGAGGGAGAAGGAAGGAGAAGGAAGAAGAGGAAGAGAAGGAGGAGAACGAGGAGGAGAAGAGAGGAGGAGGAGAAAGGAAAGGAGAGGAGAGAAGAGAGGAAGGGGAAGGGAGGGAAGGAGAGGGGAAGGGAGAAGGGAAGGAAAGGAGAGGAGAAAAAGGGAAGGGAAGGGTCTGATGGGGTCTTAAAATCATCCAGTGGTGGGTCTCAGTTTACAGACAAGAAATGATATCCAAAGACTATGATTTTCAGGGTCACACCACTTGACAGTGGCATTTAAGTCATTTCTGGCCCTGCTCTGAGCCAGGAAAGGAGGGGGAGGCCAACCATGACTGCATCCCACTCATGCTTGGACCTTCCACTTGGTGTTCTCTTTGTGCCAAGAAGGAAGAAGGTGTTCCTGTATCAGTCCCCGGGGCACCGGCTGTGCGTCTGGGTGGGCAGCAGCCCTTCCCTGAAGGGATGGCTGCATTTTGTCTACACCCACTACTGCTCAGGTCTTAGGAAATCTAAGGTGCCAACTACTTATCTATGCTGTACTGCTAATTAGAATATGACAGAAATGTTTTACTGGGAGCCAGACGCAGTGATTTATAACTGTCATCCCAGATACGAGGAAGGCTAAAATTGGGAGGATCATGGTTTCAGAACAGCCTGAGTAAAAAGTTCAAGAAATTCCACGTTAATAGATAAATTGGGTAGAGTGGCGTTCACTTGTCATTCTGGCTACAGTGGGAAAGGAAAATAGGAAATTGTGATCCAGGCTGGCCCAAGAAAAAAGTGAGAAACTATCTAAAAAGTGATCAGAGCCAAAAAAGGCTGGGGGCATGGTTCAAGTGGCAGAAGGTCTAGCAAGCCCCAGATCTTGTGTTCAAACCCCAGTACTGCCAATAAAAAGAACATTGTATTAGACATGGATTCATACCAACAGCAAAGCACTCAACTGTGCTTTTAAAAATGGCTGTGATAATAAGTTTTATGTGATGTATATTTTACTATAAGTAAAATAATATTTCACTGGACACTGGTGGCTCATTCTTTTAATCCTAGCTACTCAGGAGGCTGAGATCTGAAGATTGTGGTTCAAATCCAACCCGGGCAAGAAAGTCCATGAGACTCTTCTCTCCAATTAACCACTAAGGAACTAGAAGTGGTGCTGTGGCTCAAAGTGATAGAGCACTTGCCTTGAGTGAAAAGCCTCTGATTCAGCACCCAGGCTCTGAGTTCAAGTCCCATGACTGATAAAAAGAACAAAACAAAATCAGAGAAGGAAGCCAGGTGCCCTGGTTCAAGATCTTCTTTCATCACTCATGACTTGTGTGTTGGGCAACTTAACTCCTCTGAGCCTCCATTTCCTTATCAAATGAGGTTGATAGTTAAAAGAAAATAGTAGAAGGCTGCTGGAGGATCAAATGAAACAAAGATTATAAAGTTCTCAGCACAGCCTGGGCACTGGTGGATCATGCCTATAATTCTAGGTACTCAGGAGGCTGAGTTCTGAGGATCGGGGTTTGAACCTCACCTTGTCAGGAAAGTCTGTCAAACTCCTATTTTCAGTTAACTACCACAAAGCTAGAAGTTGAGCTGTGGCTCAAGTAGTAGAGTAGTAACCTTGAGCATAAAAGCTCAAGGACAGTACCCAGGCCCTGAGTTCAAACCCTGGGACCAGCACAAAAAAGGGGCTAAAGGCACATGGTTCAGTTGGTAAAATGCTAGCCAATGAACAAAGTATCAGTTACCAAGTTTGAGTCCTGGTCTTAGAACAATTAAAAAAAGAAAGAAAAAAGACAGGTGTAATGTCAGAGGAAGAGGAGGAAAAGGAGGAGGAGGAAAAGGAAGAGGAGGAGGAGGAAGAGAAGGAAAAGGAGGAGGAGGAGGAAGAAAAGGAAAATCAGGAAGACCAGAGCCTTCTTCTTGGTGATCTCTTAACCTAAGATTGAGATTCCTTTCTGGTTTAGCAGGATGTTTTGTGTATTCCAAACCAAACACACCAGAAGATGGTGGCTTTGTAGCAATAATATAAGAATTCCAAAGCATTTAACAGACATGACTTCATTCTTCATGATTCATTGTAATTTCACATTCAATCTTTTCTGTTACAGAACCAGAACCCACCCATGTCATTGCCACAAACCATCAAACTGTGCATCATAATTGGGAATTGAACTGGAGCAACCATGAAGGGCCAATGAAGGGCCCAGTCCTCTCCTTCCATTCATCACTTAAGGAAGCCACTGAATGGTAAAATTAAAGAGCGAAGGTCATAACCAGGTCATACAGAAAAGGTGCATTCTTCTTCTGTATTTCATAGTCTTCATAGACGACACATTCCTCCACAGTATCGGCAAATACCTCAGACTTGCACTTAGTTTTGGAAGGGCTGGGAGCAATTCTTGAGGTGGCTCCATCTTGTGCAAGACCCAAATCCCCTGCCATCCCCCCCACCGTGTGTGTGTGTGTGTGTGTGTGTGTGTGTGTGTGTGTGTGTGTGTGTTGGTACTGGGAATTGAACTCAAAGCCTCATGCCCTCAGTTGGCTTTTTCCCCTCAATACTAATACTCTACCACTTGAACCATAGATCTAGTTCCAGATTTTTGCCAGTTAGTTGGAGAGA